AGTACTATGTGTATTAATGTATCTGAGGGTAAACACTAGAGTGACATATTTCCTGTTAAATTGACAGGTCTCACACTTGCGGGACCGGGGAAGGGAGGTGTCTGGCAGAGTGATTCATCACAGAGTACTTTTTCGAAAGCTGAGCTTCAGCACTTTATTTTCTTAATTTATGGCCTTGATTGCTAAAACCTCGTGGCTCTCTAATAAAAACCATTTCAGATTCCTAATATTCATGGGGCATTGTTAATAGAATGCTCACTGGCCCGGTCATTTTGATATAATGTGTACGTAATTTATACAAGAGATTGTGAAAGGTTTGTGAAGTTTTGCTCATCTGAGTATATAAAATTATCATTTTTATTACAGTTTTTCGTTGCTTGTCATGGTACATAAAAGGATCTTGAAAAATCACAAAAACTGATTTACGTATGTTTTACTTGGCAGTATACAATTAACATTTTTTAGAAATGGAGATTTTGGGGATAAGTAAAGTCCATGCAATGGTTTTCATTTTACTGAGAATATTAAAAAAGCACATGATTTTCAAATTTTCAGATCAAAGCAAGAGTGTTTATATTCTAACACAGTCATACAGGTAACAAATGAGAAGTTGGCACAGTTCTTCTCCTTAATATAAAGTTATATTTCATTTCACCAAATACAGATTTTTTAAACAAAAGTAGTTGTATGGATTCTGCATATAGCTCATAACATTGTACGTCATATTCACTTCAAATTTCATTCCTTTCCACGAGTCTTTAAGGCTTTGAATTTTTATGAAAAATAATCACCACTAATTCATTTATTTCCGAGTTACCCTTTGACGTCCCTTTAGGAATAACTTCATCCTATTGTATTGATCAAATAATCATGTTATATAAAATCTGATTCTTCTTTTGACATTCCAAGTATAGGGTTTTCTCTAACTTTTGTCTTTTATCCTTTGTTTCACTTTGGAAATTCTCTCTAAAGCTCTTAGTAATTTATCTGGCAAATAATAAACAGTGGATCATCTTTGGCGTCTATTGTCCTTTGTGTTCATTCCCTCTTGCTTCTGTAATGAATCATCACAACCACGGTGGCTGAGAACAGCACATAGCTGTTGTCTTACGTTTATCAAGATTTTGGAAGTTCAAATCTAGTGGTGGCAATGCTGTATTCCTTCTAAAGACTTTAGGATCCATCTTCGTGCTTGCCTTGTGTAGCTTCTAGACACTCCCCACATTCCTCCACTGTAGGCCACCATCAGGCAAGAGCATCAATCAGATCTCTGCACACATTGTCACAGCTCCCATTTTTCTCTGGCTGGCGGTGGTGAGCTTTGCTTCACAGCCTTGTCTCTGTCTTGTGTAGTACTACCCCACGGCTGCTGTCACAAGTTACTTCAAAGCCCCAAATAGCACAAATGCATTGTCTTTCAATTCTGAAATCCAACTTGTAAACCCAGTTTCACTTGGCCAAAAATCAAGATATGGTTTGGGGCTGGGCTCATTCTGGAAGTTCAAAAAGAGAATCCTGCACCAGGAGGTGAGAAGGAGTTAACATTCCACTGAATTCAGCCCAAGGGAGTGTGGCCTTGACTTCCAGGGTCATTTCAGGCAGATACCCTTGCGTTCTGTGTGATGGGTTTCCTTGATGGGAGAGTTCAGTGGAGCCCGTCATGTCTACCGTAGCCCACCTTTTCACATGTTGATGTCCACTTAGTAACTTTAGAATGATAAAATTTTTGGCTCCATTCCTTTACTTCTCTAATCATCAATCAGTGTCCTAAAGCATTTGGCCACTGAAGTATTGTTATATTTGAAGCATGAATATGAAGGACATTAATTTTAGGATTTAAATAAATGCTATAGGGGTGAGCCATGTGGCAGAACAGTTCATCCGTCACTTGTTGAACCCGCCTTACTTACTGGAGAGCCTGGTTTTGGGTCCTGCCACTTCTGCCAGTCTACATTCCTGCCAGTGCACACCTGTGGGGCAGCAGGTCCCTGCCACGCACACTCTTAGTCATTTTGCCTTAAAATAAAATACTGAAGTAATCATGGAAAAGAAATACTAGAAATGAAGTCATATAGCCTATATTGTTTCATGTTGAATATTTTACCTTCTATTTATTTGAAAGGCATAGAGAAAAGACAGGAAGAGGGGGAGAGAGAGAGATGACCTCCATCTATTAACCCACTCCCTGTAATTCCTGTAACAACAGAGGCAGAAACTCGTACAATGTTTTCCAAATGGATAACTGCTTCTCAACCACATGTGTCAGCACCCGCTTCCTCCTCGGGTCTGCTTTAGCAGGAACCTGGAGGCAGGAGCAGAGCTGAAACTCAACTGTCCCAAGCAACATATCATGCACTCCCTGCCACGTTGTCACCAACTCCTGTCACCTTGAATGTGTTTTAATTGAAATTGCAGTGTTGATACTGATGTCAGATTTTTCCTTAGTGTTAGCATCCACACCTGGGTTACTGTGCAATAGGCTTTTTTGTGACATGACCAGATTATAGGTTTTCTGACTCTGAAACTAGTTTCCTCAGCCATTGTCATGGGACAGTACATTGGATTGATCTCTTACTTCTGTTTCCCAACGAAGATGCTGTTAAACTGGGGAGAAGTAGAAGTTTTGATCTGGTGAATAAAAGAAAGAAGGAGTGGGGTACCATGGTGGCATAGCACGCTAAGACTCCATCTGTGGTGTCAGCATCTTATATGGGCACAGGTTCAAGTCCCAGCTGCTCCACTTTCAATCCACTAGCTCTTTGCTAGTGGCCTGGGAAAGCAGCAGAGGATAGCACAAGTCCTTGGGCCCCTGAATCTACATGGAAAAACCTGGAAGAAACTCAGGGCGGTCAGCTTCAGGCCAGCCTAGCTCTGGCCTTTCAGGCTATTTAAAGGTTTGAACCAGCGGATGGAAAATCACTGTCTCTCCCCCTGCTCTCTCTGTAATTCTGACTTTCAAGTAAAATATGCAAATCTTTTTTAGAAAAGAATAAAATCAAAAATAAAAGGAGAGGGACAACCACGTTCACAGCATATGCGGAATACTTTGGAAAGCAGAGTAAGACTTTTTCAAAGCAAATTGAGATTTAGTGGTTGGGAAGGTTGGGATAGGATGGGGTAACTTAAAGCACCATGATGATCCCATGGGTTATTGCTGTCACAGCTGCCAGTTTGAACAATGCAGAGCCAATCCAGCCCACCTTATCCACGTTGCTTTCCTCTGTAGTTTATTCGGTCGTGTTCCAAGAGAAAAGCCTCATTAGGACTGCAGAGAGCTTCTGGTAGAGCGAACGTGTGAGTCAGATTGCTCCTCACACAACTTGAGCTGTCAGTAGCTAGGATATAACCGCTTGAAATCATATCAGAGACTCTCTGCCTAAAGATATCGCCACATCTGGGCCCCAAGCCAATGTTTCGGGAGGTACATGTGTCATTTGTGGGTGGTTTGCTAGTTTGGGGAAGCACCAAGCATGTGCATTTGTGTAGGCAGGGAGAATCTCGCACGTTTCATCTCCATGGAGTAACTGGCAAGCTCTCTCTCATGCCAGCCACTCCACGCACTTCACCACACCTGAAGTGCTTCTGTCCCTGCTTGTCCAAGAACTTCACTGTCCTTTAAGCCTCCCTTTCAATGATGGAAGAATGATACCTTCTTTCCTGAAACAGGTGGCAACTCTCACCCAGCCCTTACAACATGATTTCCGTGGTGCTTACATATTGATTTACACTACTTCTCCACCAAAGAGAAAGATCCTTTATCATTGTACTTTAAATGTATTTTAACGTACTCATAAAATATATTTCGATTTCATAATCTTTATCGAAAATTCTTTGGCAAAATGTTACGGTAATAAACCACTACAATAAGATGAATGCAGTTGTGAATGGGGAAAAAAAGAAGGAGCCAAGAAAATAAAGAAGCTAATAAGCCAACCAAGTAATGTGCTTAAATACCAGCTTGGTTCTGAACAGCCTTGGCATCTGCAATGAGGTGATGTTTTGTCCTTTAGCCCACGTGACGTCAGAGAGGAAGGGAAGTGGTTCCTTTGGAGAAGGCTGATTTCTCAGAAAGCTTGCATATCGAACTTTACATAGAGGAATCCACAGTATAATTCTATCTTTAGTTAACGTAGCACATGTTTATTAAGGACCTACGAAGTGTCTTTGGATGTTTCATTCTGCTAATTTGGGGCAAGGCAGAGCAGATGGAATCAAAATTAACAACGCTTATTTTTCAAGTGGTAGCAAGACAGATCGTTAAATAGCTGCTCCCATCACCGGTGATGAGTGCTTTGATTGGAATGAGCCCGAAATGGTGCCCTATAGGAGCACAGGCCCAGGCATTGACCATCAGGATAGCATCTGGAGGGGAGATGATTCCTGATTTTGGACCTGAAGCTTGAGCTGCATTTGGAAATTAGGGCAGCAGGATGAAGTTTGGTGTTGGAAACAGAGTAAATAAAGGCAGAGAAACTGAGGGCTTTGCCAGCCCAGGACTGAGAGGCGCATGCGAGAACGAGCCCAGAGGGTAAGAGTGTGTCTCTTGGGTAATAGGGCTGTGGGCCGGGTGTCCCTCACGATGAGAATTGCATCCAGTAGACTGATTTCGCATCGTTCCTGAGCAGGTGCAGAAAGTTAGATGTCAGGTGTTGACATGATTAATTTGGTAACCGAAAGGTCACAGAATGTGCAGCGTGGGAATGCAAATTGGAAAGGAGGAAACAAAACTGGAGCCAGAGAGGCCTCCAGGGCACAGGTGGAGTGGGGATATTGATGGCAGTGATAATGATGCTGCTGTAAGAATACAGATCGCCACAGTCCTCACCGACCCATAGGGTAGACACAGAACCAGCTCCCGCGGCCGTCTCTCCTCGTGACCTGCCATGCGAGCTCTCAACATTACACTTCGGTGTAAGCGTACTGTTGTCTATAGCCCTTCCGATGTGTTGTGCGTAAGTTTCTCTAATAACAGAATCTCTTTCCTTCCGCTAACACCGTAGACCTCTCATATGCTTGGATCTTCAATGAATATCCCTCATTTGTTGAAGAAGATAACCGGAGGTTTGTGTCTCAAGAAACTGGGCACCTGTACATAGCGAAAGTGGAGCCATCCGACGTGGGGAACTACACGTGTGTGGTGACAAGCACGGTGACAAATGCCCGAGTCCTGGGCTCACCGACTCCGTTGGTGCTGCGATCTGATGGTATGGAATGCCTCGGAGTGTAGTTCTGAATGACACGGTGGCTACATGCAAAACCAATGGGAAAATGTGAGCAGTGTGTCCTGAAGAATTGTCATGTTCTGTTTTATTTGACATTATTGTGAACACGGTGATGAAACCAATTCCCTAAGCTGCAAGTCTTTTGATGCAGTGCTCACTCGGGTTCATGGCTTTGGGGACCAACGTCCATTGGAAATGGAGAGCAGCTTGCTCAGAAGGTGTTACGAATTTCCAACGAGAGACAGAGGAGGATTAAGCCAAGCATGAGATTTTTCTGGGGTTGGAGCTCAGGTTGCATTTTTGTCAAGTCAACTGTTCTGGCTTTTGCCAGTGTGAGTTTCAAAAAGCTCTGGGTATTTTGTTATAGGGCTAAAAATCATCACTAAAAAATCATTAAAGGAGAAAAAAAGATCTGTTTCATCAAGAGCTTGTTGGTTATTGAAGGGAAGTAAGTGACTTGCAGGGGCACGTAAGCTTAGGTAGAGGACCCATTCCACAAAACTGTATCTGAAAGAAAATAATGCTGTAACCATGAAGTATCAAAGCACATCTTTACAGTCAGTTGTAATTGAATTTGACCTTTCCCATTTATGAAGTCACCGTTTCTCGACTCCAGGGAGCTGTTCAACAGATATAAGATTGGCATCTATGCTACCAGGGTACCATTAGGTAGATTTCCTGCCACCAGTTTTGCTCTTTTGGAAATTTCAAGAAGCTGTAATGCACAGTAGATTTCAGTTTGACTAGAACCGTTTCAACTGGATAGGAAATTTCCTCAGCCTCTTGTTTTACATAATGTGAAAGACATGGTTTTCGTTGAACTGCCCTGTGCAGTGTAATTTAGGAATCAGGTCACCCAAGTCCTTAAGCATGCCTGGATATTAACTGTTTGACCCAGGTGAACACAGGGGAGCAAGGTGAATCCCGGGAAGAAGATGCTTCGCAGTGGGGCCAAGACGAGTTTTCTTTCAGCAAAACAATGCGATTACAAAAGAAATATTGATGCTCTTAACTTTGTGTTGTGATTTACAGGTGTGATGGGTGAATATGAACCCAAAATAGAAGTTCAGTTTCCAGAAACTCTTCCAGTGGCTAAAGGTTCAACTGTGAAATTGGAGTGTTTTGCCCTTGGAAAGTGAGTTTCATGGTATTTACTGCTATGTGCTGAGGTATTAGGTTGCCGTAAGAGATAATGGTGATTTTTGACAGACTTTTTGGCTTTCCTTATTGTATCAAATGTATTTTCACTTGAAAGCAAAGGAAAAAAATCCAGTACAGGGAAAACACACATAGAAAATTTGGTTTGAACTTTTAAAACCAGCTTGGAGAAAGGCTTGGCTCATTCCAGAAACTAAAGTAATATAATTTTTGCTTTTGGGCTTTTCTTTTTTAAATTGTTTTTGCTGTTCTTTTTCACTTATATTCTCATACAGTGAGCTGGCAACAGACTTTGTTTTTTAGAGCATGAATTGACACAAGAGCCTGCATGGTTTATTTTTCTTCAGATAGCAACCGAAGGAGTTGAATGTGGTGTTCTGGAACCTATGTCTTTTAGTGTATGTCAGTCAAAGTTTTACTTTTGGCAAATTGAAAATGCTGCCAGAAGATGGCCAATAAGCTTGATGTTTTTCCTCTTAGTCCTGTTCCTCAGATTGCCTGGAGAAGAAGTGATGGGTTATCTTTTCCCAACAAGATTACTTTGAGAAAGTTCAATGCTGTGCTCGAAATCGCCAACTTCCAGCAGGAAGACACAGGCTCCTATGAATGCATTGCCGAGAATTCCAGAGGAAAAAATGTTGCCAGAGGGCGTCTCACTTACTATGGTGAGTATAGTGGCTTGGTGACTGTGGCTCTTGTATGTGAAACGCTGCCGCTACTGTTGTTGTTGCAGAGTGTTGGAAATGAGCACACAGCCACTGTGTTCAACCGCTCGCTTCTGCTCTTCCTTAAACGTGGGAAACCGTATCAAGAGAATGACAAAACAAGGTCATGAAGGGAAGACATAATGCGTTCTTTAGTATCTTGAAAGGATCGCTGTGACAATGAAATGGCCCCTATTTTTCCCCAAGAATGAACCTTCATACCTTAGGCATGCTCTAAAGAAAAATCTTTCGTGTCATCCTCTTCTGTAGAAAAGGAGATATTAGATCTTTCTTAAGCAGGTTTGCCAACCAGACAAAATGCTACTGGGAAATGCTACAACCACTGCATGAGAAAAACCACACGAACCCGGGAGCTTGTTGAGTTCTTTAGCGTTATATTCTATCCCTCCCATTAACCTATCTGTATTCCACTGGCTCCATTAATTTGTAATTACATTTGTTTGATGGAATACTCACTTTGGACAAAGAAAGAATAATAATGTTACCTGCGTGCAGAATCTATTTGTAGGAGCGTTAGATTTTTTTTTCTAAAATCTGTTTTAATATTCTTCTTGTTTAAAAAAAAGTGTGCAAGGTTTTTGATGAATACATGGTTTAGAAAGAACAAATGCACCTGTAAAAACATGAAATCACAAACTAAGTGGCTAGGTGTTTGTAATTCAGTCAGTAGAAACGTTGTAAAACTAGTGGGAACGCACCATGTTTGAGAAAGGCAAATTGCACTATAATTTATTTATTTGAAATAAACATTATTTTAAGCTGCAGATGAAAAAGGTTTGCTATGCGGACTTGTACAGCCTGCATGAATGTTACAGGAGGGAAAACATCTACAAAGACAGGTCTTAAAAATTACAGGACTTATTTACAGCCCTCCTCCGAAAAATCTAAAATCCTTAGGTGTATTTATTTCCTGATAAGGTTGACACTTGTTATTTTGTGGTAAGATCTTAGGTTCTACCGGGAACAAAATGGAAGCATGGTTTCTCCATGTGAGTCATTCGGTCTGCGGTTCTTCCATCTTGGTAGCTAATTAGTTGAGACTGTTCAGCACAGAAGTACTCAGGCATCAAAGCTTCCTTTCCTCTGCTCTTTTTTTTCCCCCTGTTTCTTTTCCTGTAATACAGTTCCATTGGCACAGGGATTCCCCCTCCACCTGCTGCATTCCCTAGTCAGTCTTTCCCCCCCACAGTGTTACAGTAGCATAGTACTTCAGCAGCAGTCACAGGTCCAGCTATTCAGCTGTTCAAGTGTATCAGGGCATTGCAGGTATAGACAAGGGTAGAAAATCCAGTAGTATCCTATTTTCAGGGTATGTTGAACACTTTCATTGGGAGTTCTTTTATTCATCTGCAATGCATCTTCACTTCCTGTTATGCTAGTTTCCATCATAGGTTAACCTATGAAAATATGTATGTATACATATTTACCTATATATGTATTTTTCTTGTATTTTGAGTTAAGGTTGCCTTATATTAGAGAGGAAGTATGATATTTGTCCTTTGGGGAAGTAAAATGGACATGGACGGGGTGGCTATAAGTCTCCCTCAAAGCAAGTAACCATTTTTCTACCCTGGTTTCATTGGTGTTGTCTGAACAATACCAGGATAAGATGATACTAACCATGAAAGGGGAAAGCAGGAAATTGTAAATGTCTTAAGGTTTCTATTCACTCAACCCTGATCCAATAATAAACAACTGTATGCCTCGTGTGATGACACATATGAAGGGTAAAAACTGACATCCAGATGTGTCCTCAGCCTCGACAACTTTTCTGATCTTTTTCTTCCCTGTCAGTCTTTCTCCTTTTTTTCAGCATTTTAATTTCCTTTATGTTCACACAATGGCTGCCACCCTTAACCAGCAAATTAATCATTCATCTTTCCCCAAAATATCCAAGCCTTTCCTCTTCAAATTCTACATGTCCATTCCAAACAAACTATTGCCAAGAAGAAATCAGATGATGTCAAAGTCTCTCTTTGGGATGGAAACTATAGCCAGGTTTCCAAGGAGTTAACTCATGGAGAGTATGAGGGGATGGAAAAGAAGCAAACAGAATGAAAACGTGGGAATGTTTTAGGAATAGAAAGGAGAGCAAATGAGTACATAGAAGACATCATGCAGCATCTGTCAGACGTTGTCAGGGAGGAAGAGTATTGCTTTCGTCCATTATGTAGGCAAAAGGATATATTTCTGAGAAATAAATTAGAAATTAATGACATGAAGAATTTCATGAAAGTTGCCCTACAGTTCCAACTCAAGAAGGCTGCATTCGATAAATGTCATGCAGGTCTGTTTGCTGCACTACTTCAATTAAAGAGCGATCAGATGGAATACTTGGCTATCCTGTGGTAGAATATAAGGGGAAATCACAATTGATGTGCCAGTTGAAGCCTACGGGTTGCTTTCGTGCTGCAAATTACTCTCCCATTTAGAGGAAAAGAATATTAGTGTGGGCAGCTGATGGACATGGTTGCCAGGAACTCAGGTCTCCATCACAGGCTCCTGTGTGAATTTGTTTGCAACCTCCTGTCTTAGATTGTTAATTCTTGAAAGAAGAAAGTGTGCTTTAATATAAAGTGGAGAGAAGTGATTTGTGACTGAGTGACTCTTCATATGGGGCAAGTAGTTTATATGTTTAGAGAAAAAAAAAAAAGGCAACACGTAGACCTGTGCATTTTCTGTCAAAGCTAAATAGCTCCAGTTTCATTTCAATTTCATTTACAAAGAAACAATTTTATGAGCTAGAAACGGAAAGACGAATCATCCCATGGTTGCAATTAAATAGAAATAGATAAACTGTTTCTCCATATGGAGGATGCAAATGTGGCTCGCACAGCACACATCCCATGCATAATGCAATGTGAAGTCAGTAAGACATCTCACCTCCCAGTTTTGGATCTGAAACACAAGCTGAGACTTGGCTGAGTGTACTGTGTACACCGAATGACTTTCACTCTTAGCGTTAATGTTTCTTTCATCCGTAAAAAGTTTTCCAGCTATCTTCTGAAACATACGTGGAAAATGATTAATCTTGATCCAACGGACTTACATGCATAATTTAAAGTTGCATCTATTGCTTATTTTTTTGAAACCGATGTATCCATCCTTTCCTGCTTTAATTTTCATTCAGTCAGAGGTCCCTATGATACTGGTTTGTTTCTCATTGAGAGTAGTTTCTCATTTAAAATGAAATATTTTTTCCCCTCAACTAGAAGTTCATTTCTCTTCTGAGGACGCTACTTCTTAGTTCATGATTGAGAAAAGTATTTGCTGTCTTCGCTTATTGTCATTGATTGTGATTTCCTGATTGACAAATGATCTAGGAAAAGAGAGACCAATTGCATGTGCATGCATTGCTGTCTATTAATAGACACCTGAAGAATATAATGCAGTGATTGGAATTTTAAACACAGAGCAAACATAGCTGGATTGGCTTAACAGATGATGAACTGTGGCACTCATCGTCAACGCAACAAGTGCTGCAGATATCCGTCCGCTGTAGTTTAGATTGAGTGAATTCAGGGGACACAGTGGTTGGGGCACTCACACCCCACTGCAGGGTCACTCGTTGGAGTTGGTCTGCTTCTGATCCAGCTTCCTGGGCTGTGCACTCTGGATGGTGTTGGGGCGACAGGTGGTAGCTCAGGCATGTGAGTCCCGGCTGGGTTGACTTCTCCCTTTGGATCTCACTGGAGCCATTGCACGCATTTGGAAGGTGAACCAGTGGATGGAAGATTTCTCTCTCTGTGTCTCACTTGTTTCAAATGAAAACAAATCATTCTTTAGTGAAAAATATATAGTTCTAGTATTACACGGTCTTATGTCCATTTGCAGTTACCGGAGAAGGGATTTGTTCTTTATGAACTGAGTGATTTGAATTTTCTTTCTTTTCTGGATTGCAGCAAAGCCTCATTGGGTTCAGCTCATCAGGGATGTGGAGATAGCTGTTGAGGACAGTCTTCACTGGGAATGCCGGGCGAGTGGTAAGCCCAAGCCCTCCTACCGATGGTTGAAAAATGGAGAGGCTCTGGTGCTGGAGGTAAGGAAGTGTTTCAGGGAACCCGTAGCTCCACTCCATGTTTGGTGAGAACAACCTTCATTGTTGAGTCTACCCTCTTTCATTCTGCATCCAAGGAGCTAGGGAACAAATTGTAAAATCAAGCACCCAGTTGGCCAATGAGGTGATCTTGTCAGTACTGCAATTCTTTGATGAAGGTGATTTTACAAGTTTGGTCCATAAAATAGCATGTGTTTCAGGCATTTAAATCAGAGAAAGGCTTGCTCCAATCAAATGCAGAATATAATTTTCTTTTCCTGAACACAAGTTAGTGTGACCTCTAGAGAATAAATACATTTATTCTTTGGTTGTTTTGGTGTAGGAGTCCTTGTTCTCCCAACCGCTTTGCTTCCTAAGCCTTGTAATTTTTGCCATTTTTCTGTGTACTTAATCAGTTATATTCATTTGAATTTCTCTATATATAATGTTTCATAGCTCCTATAAGCCTCAGTGAGTGTATGGTTCCCAAAATCCTTTTTGATGCACAGAATTAATTTTATATATTAATTACATATTCTCAATTTTATATTATTTTATATCTTAATTTAATCACATTATATTTATAATATAAATATTATCAAATATAAATTAAGCCATATTAATTGAATATAATTAAATTGTATTGATTTGATTATATTTTAATTTAATGTTTTAAAATTTAGATTAATTTTATATATTAATTAAATATTCTTAATTTTCATGATTTTTTAAAAATAGTGTAAACCTTTGTAATATATGGGATGGAAATTAATTTTGTGGTACATTTTTTAAAGCCTGACACCTTCAGTATCTGACCTCCGCCTTGTTATTTATTTTACTAATGTGCTGTTGGGCTGAATGGTGTTTATTCATATTTCCAGTACGGAGCTGTTATGCTAAACCAGTCTTTCACATTTCAAAGAAGGGAAAGGTTAAATTTCAGGTCAGGTGGCCTCAACTACCCTGAGCAAAACGCAGGAGGTTTGTGTCTGATTGAAATGATAGGCAGTGGTGTTCATTTTCTCTCTCAAATGGTATATTTGTTCATATGCAAGCCAATTTTGTTATCATCTAGGAGAGAATACAGATAGAAAATGGTGCCCTTACCATATCCAACCTGAATGTGACAGATTCTGGCATGTTCCAGTGCCTAGCAGAAAACAAGCATGGTCTCGTCTATTCCAGTGCTGAACTCAAGGTTATCGGTAAGGCTGATTCTCTCTCTTTGTGTCCAAATTTTTGTCTTAAATTCTCCATTGTTGCCACAAGCCAAAGTTTAGTTTTAATACTAGATTCTTACATCTAAGACTATCTGCTCTGTTATAACATGATTATACAAAGTATTTCATCAGGGCATACATTTTAATGATTTCCAAGGAAAAGCAACAGTTATGTGACCAAAATCAAGGGTGACAAGTTGAAGTCAGCCAGCAACAGAAAGAAGTTGGACTAAGATTTCCATGTCCAACACCAATACTATGCAATAAACCGTGACTTTTAGTAGAATAAGTAGCTTTGGTGTTCTTTGTGGCCAATTCATAAAAGTAAATTCTAGATTTGGAATCAGTCATATTTGATCGGAAGGGAGTTATCTTTGCCTTTAGTGACCCTGTGGGAAAGTCAAGCAGTGTGTGTAACTCAAGCCTTCATTAACCAAGGTTCTTATACTTGAAACTATGGGAAGATTTTCTGTTTATTGCACCATAAGTGTAGAAGAAGTGAGAAATGTGATATCCCATTTTGGACAGTTGGACATTGCCAATGATTGAACACTCAACCAAAATGGCATAACATAGCAAAACTTTGTAAACCAGAAGGGAGAGTGGGAGGAAGGGAGGAAAAGAGGAAAGAATTCATAGGTTCAGACCATCAATATGGATTTTTGGAGGGAGGGATATTAGCAAAGCTTGACCCAAGACAAGCATCATCATGATTACCAGGCTGTCTATGATGTTTTCCAACATCAGCTTCTTAGAGAAAAACCTCCTTCTCCATTGTCCACATGGAGATAGTAGTCCTTGTCTGGTGTAGATCAAGCCCAACACTGACCCCCATCCATATGATCAGCAGGTTACAATGCATCGATCCATTCCATTTGATGATTCTAAATTCCAGAAAGTTCTCCCCCAAAATATTTGGGAATATCTGGAGTTTTTTTTTTTTTAATTTTAGATTAGTAAGTAATTATCACACATGTTTAAGGGATATAGTGCAACTTTTGAGTATCTATCCAAAATGTATTTATGTGTTTTGAAGATTTATTTCTTTTTATTGGAAAGGCAGGTATACAGAGAGAAGGAGAGACAGAGAAAGATCTTTCATCCACTGGCTCACTCGCCAAGTGGCTGCAACGGCCAGAGCTGAGCTGATCCAAAGCCATGGGTCTCTCATGTGCATACAGGGTCCCAAGGCTTTGAGCCGTCACTGACTGCTTTCCCAGGCTTCAAGCAGGGAGCTGAATGGGACGTGGAGCATCAGGGATACCATTCAGTGCCTATATGGGATCCTGGCACTTGCAAGGCAAGGATTTAAGCACTAGACTATCACACCAGGCCCTATTTATAATTGAAGCTGTTTGGTAAGTGGTCACGTTTGGTATGGGAAAATACATGATATTGTCATCTTGAGAATAGAGTCCAAAAAGGCTGCAAATATCTTGCAATGCACAAGAGAGCTTCTTTTTTTACAATGAGTCATTTTCCAGCTAAAAGGTAAGAGAGGATGAAAAATCCTGATGTAATGGAAAATGATTCTGTTATCCCTTATGGTTGGAAAGATGTGAGCTGTGCCAGAAAGGCTAGCCTGATAAGGGGAGATCTCTAGCTGAAAACTGGCCTGTTGTTCTCCAGCAAAGAGAAGCGCCTGGGGAGACCAAAAAGAGAAAGAGTCCCACACGAGGCCTGAGTGGCAACGTTGTACTTTGAAGTGAAATAACCAGATGCACCTTGGTTTATTCATTGTTCAGTCTTACCCAAGTATGACATTAATGAGCAGGGTTGTTGTGTAGGAAAAAAATATATATGTGAACCATGTACTTTATGGGAGTATGAAGAGGTTTCTTGTTTCAGTAAGATTAATTTGATTTCTTAATTCTTAAAGCCAACGGCCTTTTGAATGCATGTCACAAGTTTACATATGAATGTATCTACTGGGATTTTGCCCATGACTGGAGCATTGGAAAGTAGAGGAAATGAGCTTAGCTTTGAACTGTTTTCCATACTCACAGTGACAGGAAGAGGACTATTCTGATTAACATCATTTTGTTCAAATGATATATTCTTTTGTGTCTTGAACATTCAGGTGTTATTTCAGGATTGGTATTCCATGCAGCATTAGCAAAAATGTTTTATACAATATTCATAATACTGTCATATGAGTAGCAATATTCTCTACTGTAATAAGCATATTGTACTTTGTATCCTCCACTTGAAAGTTAAGGCTAAACATGTGGACTAATAATGGAACATGATGAATTGGTGTGGATGAGAGTGCTCATTCAGTACTGAGCATTTATTCTGAAAGCATGCACTTGTCATGGCTCAGTGCCAGGCACCATACAGGTCCTATGCCCTTGGGGTCAACAGAGAGACCGACCCCCATGCCTGTCTTCATGGAACTACCTTCTGAAAATATACCACATGATACTTTCTTTTTCACGTAATAAGCTCACCACTGAGAAATTTTAAATCTCAGCAGTAAAGACTAAGAGTTCCTAAGTAAATAATTGTTGGTAGATTTCAGAACTTGTCAGAAAACAGGAGAGCAAATTAGGTTTTTAGCCTTGAAATTCTGTGTGTGGTATGCAGTGACTCAAATAAAGCAAGCACTGACACCTTACATAGCAAGTGAACTTTTAAAAATGGTGATCAAGCCAACCTTTGAATTTCTGGAAGTTTAAAAAAAAATGATCCAGTGCTCGTTAAATCAGCCATCCTCTTTTCATTCTCCTCTCTCTCTCTCTCTCTCTCTCTTCTCTCTTCTTTTTTAGCCTCTGCCCCAGATTTTTCAAAGAATCCAATGAAAAAGTTAGTTCAGGTGCAGGTGGGAAGCATGGTCAGCTTGGATTGTAAACCCAGAGCCTCTCCAAGGGCTCTCGCCTCATGGAAGAGAGGAGATGTGGCCATCCAGGAGCATGACAGGTACCGAGTCCTCCCAGAGGTGGACATCAGCTTTCTCTGCACTCTGTATGATAATGTGGACAAAGGTCTTGATGGGAAATGAAGTGGAATTTGAGTAGCGTAAGAGGTATTTAAGACCCAAAACCAGAATTCTTTTATTCTGTAATACTATCATGATGATTGTAATCAGTCTATGTTAGCTGTCCACCTACCCAACTTCTTCCTATGGTAACTGTTTTAGCAAGGATGTTCTCCAGTTTTCCTGGAAGACTCAAGCAGAATGATAGAAGGTTGTCAGCTCCAAGTGCAGGCCGATGTCCAAGAACAAAGAAGAGGTGATGTAGCAAAATATAATAACCAGCATTGTTTTAAGCTTGCGCTAAGATAACTTAGTGTTGCTTGAAGCCAAGGCTTTCCTAGGGTCCTGTGTGTTAAAGTCACATTGAAGGGAAGAGGCAGAACTCAGCTCAATTCAAAGCACAGATCCTAGAGCCAGACTGCCTGGGTTGGACTCTTCATTGTGCCTTTACTGACTTGATAGGGCTGCCTAGTCTTCAATGCCTCACATCTGTGTTTGTCAGTGGGGAGGATGATAATAGTTCATGTTTCATGTTCAGTAGTGTTGTATGCAGATGAGGTGCATGAATATTCATGAGGATCTTGGATCAGTACCAGCCCGAGAGTGCGTGCTTAGATTGACTGTTTTGCTATGCGTTGAGTACTTAATGCTCAGAATGGGTGCTAAGGAATGGCCCGTGTCCTCATCCTAAGAACCTGTGTTACATTAGATGGTAAGTGTATGTATAGTCGGAGATGGAATTAAGGTTGCTAACAGTGGATTTTAAAGTAAGGATATTAACTTGGATTATCACGGTGAGCCCAAACTATTACTTAAATCTTTACAATACGAGGTAGAAGGCAGAAGGATGGGTCACAGGTATGCTGATTAGAGAAGCAGCAGGTGTTGAAACATGAGAATGAACTTGACGTGTGTTCATAGTTCTAAAGATGTTGGAAGTAGCCACCAGCATAACCACCAGCTGTGCCTAGAGCAGCAGGATCTTCAGTTCCATAACCACAGGAATTGAGTTCCACCAGTGTTCTGAATGAGCATAAGCAATTCTGGGGTCTTCAGAAAGAACACATCCCTGCCAGTTGTTTTTAGCTCAGTCAGAGCTTAACTGGAATTCCGGTCTCTACAATTGTCAGACAACCTTATATTGCTTAAGTCACTACATTGGAGATCATTTGTTGTAACAACAATAGGAAACCTAATACAGAGCTCTATGCAAATGATCAGGGCTTAAAGAATGATGTCATATGCCTGTTGTGTCACAGCTACGATTTGAATCCATGACTCTGTGACTGAAGGGTATAGCGGCTGCGCATTTCAGGGCTTTTGTGTAGGGAGTCCAGAATCTTAGAGGCGATCTCACCTTTGAAGTTATGGAGTCCAAATTACTACTTAGGAATGAGAGAAAAAAACAGTAATAAGTTAAGCGATGGGAATTTGCTTTACTGAAAATCACCAAGTTGTATAGCAAACAACCAGGTTGAACCGCTCTTAGATTATAGGCCCAAAGGAACTCTGAGATGAGTTGATTGCAACAACACAACGTGCAAGACAGGCGTAGCAGGGTGACGAGGCAGAATTGTGAAGTAGGTGTTCAAATATAGTCCAGACAAATGCCAGGACTAGAATAGACGTAGAATGGATTTCTGAGATAGCCGTTTCAACTTTGGTTTTGTAAATCATGTTGAACAGGTATACGTTTGTGCTGCAGAATAGGTTCGATTTTATTATACTGGAAGACTTCCTGCACTAACCATTTTGTGTTCAAAAGTTTTAAGTAATTTTGACTGTATCCAGAAGTTAGATAATAACGCTTTCCCAAGGAATTCAGTGCTTTGCGCAATAAAAAAAAAAGGCATCCATCCTCATAATATTATATAAGCAGAGGTTTTATCTTCATTTTAAAAGAAGATTAAAAATGAAATTTAGCTCACTAAGTAAAATTTACCCCAACAATGTAATTTTACCCCAAATGAGATTTACTCCAGCATTGTGATGATCTAGGGAAAAAGAGTGTAAGTTCCCGAGTCCATGCCGAAATTTCCCATAATTCTGCTAATTATGGGAAACTCGGGATCGTACATCCTTTATAACATAGAGGCAGTAATTGCATACCTCAACACACAGTGAATATAAATTAAGCATTTAACAGAATGCCTGATATTTGCAGGTATACTGATCAGTAAAATAAAGTTGTCCTAGGAGACTTCATAGAAGCCATGAAATTCTAAGATGAATTGATGGAACAAACTGTTTGAAATCCAGCAAGTTTTCCATTACAATTTTCCATGACCTTTTTGCAGCCTTTCTATGTCACAATGAAAATGTTGCAAGTGCCATGGCCGAGAAAGAAGCTTCTGGTTTGTTCATTGCATGCATTTTGCGTGGTTATTTTCTCTTACGCTGGACATTCAGAGTCCTCTAAGACTTCACAGTCATCAAGTTGGCCCACCCTTCTTGGCTGCGTGGTTCGTAGCCTCCCAATGACATCTCTCCCTTATAAAGGACTGCCCAAACAGTCCTCCATGTCATCCCCGCCACGCCTTACTCATCAGAAACTAGCGACCACATTCAACTACAAGAATTGGATAGTTTGTGTGTTTTCTGTAGGTCAGTTTGCCCTGTTTGTTTTGTTTTTAAATGGAGTTTGTTTCTAGAGATATAAGGAAAATACTGCTACTCCAGTGGGGTCTCTTGGTACTGAAAATTCTCTGCCTCCTTAAAGCCAACTGTGTCTGCGCTCTGTACGATGCTTTTTTTAGATCTTCTCTTTGGGTACTAAGACATTTTCAGATTTGAAGATAGACTTAAAAAAAAAAAAGCATGATAAGAAGAGGGTTCGCGGGATTGACATTCAGATGCTGTTTTTCCTCTCTGGATAGCAGAAAGACTCGGTGAGCCAGAGTCTTGATGCTTAGGGAGAGGACTGCTAGAGGCAATTAGGGAACAAGTTGTAGATCTGAATCTTCTCCAAATTCATGGGTAATTAAAGTGGCCACAGTCATCACTTGGTAATGGAAACCTCGTATCTATCCCTCTTGGCATGATCCACAGACAGCAGCCAAATGAGGGCAGCACGTTAAATGGCAGATTTATTATAGCTTTTTAGTCGCCGAGTCTTCCAACCTAACAACTGCAGATTCAAATCTCATTTCAGGGAAAGACTAGTTCACTGATGCGTTTGAAAATAGAAGGAAAGGAGCCTAAATTACCGAATTATGTTGAACCGATGAGAGTCTTTGCTTTCAAGTATGGAAGAGATTTCAAGCTAAGGTAGTCATGGGATACTGCCCAACGGAAGTCCTCAAACACTTGTAAAAAATACATAACAGGCCGATAATGGATTCTGGACTCTTCAAATGATTAAGTTCTCCTTCGTTCATCCATTCAAAAACATTTTCAGTACTGTCTTCCAGGCACGAGGTACTTTTCCTTTTGTCAGAGAAGATGATCCCATCATATGTAACTGTCACGGAATTAAGACAAGCAATGCAGGGAAGTTACAATGAAATGCATTGGGAAAAGCTCAGACATATGCAGAAATGATTGGGGAAGAGTACATTCACAAACTAGGATCAGAGTAAGCTTTGTGCAGAATGGAAGGTCTCTATACTACAACTTGATATATGACAGTGACTTGCTGGCGAAGAAAACTGCAGGGAGAAGGAACAATACATATAATTCCCAGAGGTGAGGAATGGCCTGGTTGTTCTCACAGTCCATTCAGACTGCTATAACTAAACACCTTAACCTTTGTAACTAAGTTGTAGGAATTTCTTTCACCCAGTTCTAGGGTCTTGGATGTCTGCAGTAAATCTTATGTCCCATCACAGGGTTGCAACAGGCAAGGCAACTCCCTTCCACTGTTTTATAAGGGAGCTTGGGATTTACTACCCAAGCAATGTTTCAACAAAAGGATAAAATCAAAGTAGCAGAAGATCAGATTCATGATAAAAATAAGAAAAAAAGAAGACCATGGTGACAAAGGAAGGAATGGAACGAGAGGAGAACTGTAGACAAGAATTCCATGTGGCAGCAACCCAGCAATCCAAACCAGAGGGTGTTGCAGCTTGAACTGAAGCAAGGTGGCATGAACCAGAGAGAAGCCTGGGTTAGCTTGGGAAGTTGTTGTTGATGTGCAAGATCTGAAAGAGGAGAGTCCAAGTTGGGCATCAGAGAGCACTCAGCATGTCAGAGACCCTTGCTAAAAGGGCAGCGCCAGGGGCAAATACGATAAGTCATACTTTGGAATGGGTGAGTTTAAAGAGTCTGCTGAAAACATCAGCTGAGGGGTGGCAGCTGACACAGCAGCTGAGACCCTCCTTGTGGTGCCTGCATTCTGCATGTGAGTGCCTGAGTTCAAATCGCAGACTTGCGGGGAGGAAAAAAGTCATGGCAGTGCTGGTATCCTTTACAGCAACACAGGAAACCCAAGTGGAGTTCCGGGTGCCTTGCTGTTGTGATGATTAGAGAAGTAAGCCACTGGTAGCAAATCATAGGCTCTCTCCTCCTCTCACTAACTCACTCTCTTTCAAATAAATGATAAGGGGACACTAGCTGGATATGTGCATGCACTGGCAGCAATTGACTATATATGAACGTGGAACTAATGAGAAAAGTAATCATGGTGGCTACAGTTCACAACCTGGCTGAGATGCGGATGGTGAGTCATGCTTCAAGGCAGTGTCTACAGGTGTCTAGGAAGACAGGTATTGTTAAATGCTTAGAGAGTGGGTGAGGAGTGCACCTCTTACCCAGGAAGCCCCAGGAGAGAGATTCAAGTGATATGTGAACAACACTTTGTTTAGGCTCATTTAGTTCTTAGTACATTTGTGAACTAAAGCTCACCTTAAATCAATATTCTACACCTCTGAATTCCTTGCATTTCAGCATTGAATATTTATTTTTGGTTCTATTTGTGTGTGTGTGTGTGTGTGTGTGTGTATTG